GCGGGATAGAATGTGTCTGCTGCTGATAATCAAATAATATATAGCAGTTTTTCGACATTAATTACGAGAAGTGTGCCATTTTGAAGAAGAGTCAAATAAAAAATTCGCTGCCAAGTGAGTGAAAAGACAGATAACATGTCTTTGCATATCGGATGCTATGTGTGCATTCAGTTGTCTAAAATGTTCAGAATTTGCATCTGTGAAGACTCATGCCATACAGGAATGGATATTAAATGGGTTATGAAAACTATGGTTCATGCTTTATTATATGAAAGTACTAGAATCCGCGCTGGATGCGCACTTACCTGGAAAGTGGAATGAAAATGGTTCTAAATTTCCAACATCTCTCTCACATGTTAACAGAACACGATCAATATCGGCATCAGATAGCATTGTTCTCCATCTACCTTGGAGATAATCATTTGAATGTATTGTATATGGTGGTATGTATAATGTATGTTGTGTTGGGATAATAAATGCAGTTAAATGTAATTCGGATTCATCCTCCTCAGAAAATTTACCCAATATAAACCGTCCACTTCTGGTATGATGAGCATGTGGACAATCTAAATGTGCAAAGCCATGACGTTCGAGACCAGGACCATTTACACCTTCAACATAATCTTTTTTATAACTATTCATATAAGTAAAATCCCATGTACCATGCCGATGTAAAAGTGATACTTTCAACTGATTGTCATTTGCAAATGCACAGCCTAGAAAGTACGTGAATGATAATGTCGTTCAAACCATTCCCTGGTTGACTACTTTGAGCCGTCATTCTAAACTCGTTTGTAGCCACAGCATAGTTGCAAAATGTAGGTTCATAACTCAGTTGCCGCTGCGTTGAGCTTCGCGCTGCCCTTTGGTGGTAATGGGGCCGCTGACTCAGGCACCAATTCACAAATATGTGTAAACATCTGTCTGTCACAACTGCGAACTGATACCACAGGCACGCTCTGTCTTTCAGTTAAGGTCAAGCGAACAAGATTAATGTGTGTTAACTTTGTGTGCAATGTGGAGGTGTGAGCTATAACTTCCGCTATTAAAATCATCCATAGTCTGTGGCGACATTATCCACGATGGAAAATTGATATGGGTCGCAGAGCACGCTGTGAAACACAGATCGAACAGAATTCACATGCAACTAATTTGTGTTATGAGCGCCACTAGATCTGGATCATTCTTTACATTCAATGAAAGTGGATTGGATATATACATATATAGTGCAATTTTATTACCATAATATTTGAGATTTTGAGCGGTTGCAATGTCAGTCGGAATACTACGATTAAAGTTCGCAGGAAATATTAACAGGCCGGGTTTTTTATCTGGACTAGATAGCCATCGAACCTAGATACAGACACAAATAAAAGAGTTTAGATTTCTTCTTTCAGTACTTTATTACCCATTCACTTCTCTATAAACTAAACTAGTGTTAGAACTATGTTTTCTATTGTTGCACATAAACAAACATACTGCTTACATTTGGTATTTTAACATGTAGTGGTTTAATCATTTCTGTTAAATTATCCTTCCAACAAGATAAATCAACAAGTGAATATTCGCCGGGTAAAATATCGTCAATATTATCACTACCAGTCATAACCACTTGTCCACTTTGACCATAACGTATATAGTTATTGAATGTAGACCATTTTTTATTCATAAACTGTGTTATACCACCTAAACGACATTTACCTTCTTTATCTGCGTTCAAAAGTGCAACAAATAAATCGAATTTTGCTTTAGCTGCTGCACTAATGGGTTGTTGTTCTTGTTGTTGCAGCTGGCGCGATGCCGATATTATTTCCGCATCATCACCCTTAATTAAGTTTGAAAGATATTGAAAAAAGTTTTGAAATTCTAGTTTTCCTATTTTCTTCTTATCCATATCATTAAATATTTGATGTATTTGACTTTCATCTAATGTTAGATTTAAATGATGTTGGAGAAATGTTATAAATTCATTTAAATTTAAATAGCCATCCATATCTGCATCGTGAGATAAAAATATTTTTCTAATTTTTGGTTCTAAGAATTGTAATTCTTCGTTCTTCATACTGTCAGGAATTACGGTCGACACGTTAGCATTTTCGATTCCGAGTGTGTTGACACTCTCTCTAAAAGAAATAGACTTTTATGTCAACATCTGCAAACGTTTCTCTCTCGTTCTCTTTTATTCTTTGAAATTTCGTTCTGAATTGATTTCTCTTCTACTCCCTTCCCTGCACTAATCAGCTGAATGATGGAACCAAAAGTGAAAACTAATGTTTGAAAAAAGAGTTAGCGCGTTTACTGTCCTTTTTTCTTTATGTCTGGCGAGAGAGAGAGAGTTTGCCGACACGCCGAATTCTATGCACTGTAATTACAATCTACTGTAATTACTCTTCATATAATTCATACGAAAATACCGTTCTTTTAGACTTACATATATTCCTGTCTAGCTCTTATAAATGCAGGTCGATCATTTACATCTGATATTAATTCACTTAATAAATCAACATTGCCATTTTCACTTAAAAGTGAAAATTCATTTACTCTGTTAGCTAAAAATAGAAAAAGCAAAAAACTGTTTCACTAGCTTGTCAGACAGACTATTAATACATAATAAAATTTACGTTACAAATACTGCACCTCGAAATGCACCACAATATTTTTCTAAGCCAATTTGTTTTAACCAGTAGCATACATTTTCGATACTCCACATCAAACCATGATCAGCTTCCTAAAAAGAATAATGATCAGGTTAATTTTTTTAATGAGTTTTCGGTTACGCCAAGCTACGGTTGTAGACAGCTATAAAAACATGAGCTAATCATACATTTACTTCACTTAAATTTTTATCATTGTCTTTTCGATGGACACTTGTATTTGCAGCAGCCATTTCTTTCTTTTAGCTAAACCAAATCAAATAAAAAAGAAAAGAATTTAAGTTACTAACTACTACTATGAGACGAAGAAGAAGAAACGCACAGAAACATATAAATGTACTAAAAAGAGAATGAAGAAATAAGGAAATGATTCCCTTTGCCTGTTTTGGGGATTTTACCAATATGGATCACGTAGTTGTGTAACCTCACCCTTCGTTAGCCTACATAACTTACACGACATACGTAAACCTACATAAGTACTTAAGCGTGCAAAACCTTCACGATCTAGGCAACCTGTACAATGCACACACTCTGTACAACGTACACAATTTACCCAAACCTACATGATCTATACAACCTATGCAATCTACATAACCTACCCTAACTGTAGTAGGTACCCTGCCTATCCAACTTCGCACCCAAGTGAGATGGGTTGAAAAAGCCTCCCAGGTCGTGAAAAATGAGCCATGAACGACTCATTTATGTGCCATATATGGCTCATTTTTAAATCATATCTCTCCCATATTTATCTCATTTATTGTATCATAATGTAGTCATAATTATGTCATTTTTTTATGGGATAAATATCATCTTATTATGGTTATCAAAATATGAGCCTATTATGATCCTGTTTAGATCATTTTTGGCTCATTTTAAGACCATTTTACGACTATTTATGAGATAAGAAATGCAAAGAAGAAAAAATATGAAACAGTTCATGCAGAGATTCGAACCCTGAACCTGTAGATCAGAAGTCTACGATGCTATCCACTACATCACACGGCTATACAAATATATATGTTTTTGTTCCTTCTGTTTTAGGATTTTCAAGTTTAAAAAAA